CGATGCGAAAGAATGGATAAAGAACAGATTGAATATGCTTAGCCTGATGGACGAGAAAAGGCTAACGTCTATTGCATATGGTCGGTTGTATCAGAGCCGGATGAAGAAAGCTTTCGATAAGAAGGTGCGCCCTGGAAGCTTTCAGACAAACAATCTTGTGCTGAAAAAGATTATCCATCCACAAACAGATCATATGGGCAAATGGACTCCAACTATGAAGGTCCATACATCGTGCGAAAGGTCTTCTCCGGAGGAGCCTTGTTGTTATCCACCATGGATGGTGAGGATTTTACATCCCCTGTGAACGCAGACGCAGTTAAAAAATACTTTGCTTAAAGAGACCTGCTGGAAAGAAAAAAAAGAATATCCAGGCAAAAATGGGGCATCCCGGCGAACCATAAAAAGAGTGGGTTCGGGAAAATGTTAGCGATATGAAAGAAAAAAGATGTAAACCCGCAAAGTTGAAAACCTAAAAAGGCGACTTTGGCAAAAATGGGTATCCCGGTGAATTGAAAACCCGAAAGGGCGATTCACACAAAAGTTAGGGATTGAAAAAGAAAATGACTGCGGACTGCATGTGATCTTCAGAGCTTAGTGGATTGAGGGAGGACCTGAGGGCCGTTTATCTGAATCAATCTTTTCTGAAGACGAAGCATCGGTGAAGCGTCGGAATCATGCGAGTCACAGATGGATCAACTTATGGTGTTCGTCTGTGCCACATTGCCGATATTCTGTATATTTTTGTGCATTTCTATATATTTTTGCGCAGCTTCCTCTTTTCAGGGGTTGCATCTGTTTTAAAATCTTGCCTATTTACAGACCCATCTGTCAATAAAACATACTATTTAGTAATTATTTGTCTTGCTTTAGCCTTACTGTTTTATTTGCAAAAAAAACGCCCGATGTTTTTGATAAACCGTGCATACATAAACTTACAGGCTTTGCCAATAATCGTTAAAACTTCGAGTTATTTGAACAACGTCACGGATGATGACTGAGATAGTTCCTTTGTACATGATATCTGGTCTGTTTGTTCATGTTTGCAGGGTCGTTATCCTTTGGGCAATTCGTCAGAGGTTTATCTCCGGTACGATCGCCATTTTCCCCCAACTATTGAAATTTGAACATCTCTATCCCCGGTAGAGTTGTAGGCAGATGGAGTGAGCAATTAAGTGTGCGCGCTTATTCCCAGCAGTTGGTCCGTACACTTTTAACCCCCGCAGGTTGCAGGTATGTATTTACTCCCCAGTGAGTCGAGATGGGATTTCTCCCCACAGAGTTTGAACAAGTGATTTTGTATCCCCTCGGAATTCAAGTTATTAACTCATCCCCAAGCAAAGGTCGGTGTTGTTCCCTCATTGGGCGATCCCCAGTAGAGTTGGCTTTTTTCCCTTGCAGGATCGTAGAGTTGTCTCTATCTTCAGCAAAGCCAACATGAAGTGGTCCTATTTCCCCGCAAATATAGACTATATCCCAGCGAAGTTGGTAAGTCTATGATTCCACGACAGAGTGGATCTATGGCAGAGATAGATTGTTCCTTAGGTGAGTAATTCCCAGCAGGTTGAATTTTGACTTTTTGCCTCGGTAAGTCGTCACTCTCAGGTAAGTATTGGTGAGCCATTCAGGGCTATTTTCTTCAGCAGGGCGTGTTGTGAATATCGGTGATTGATTCTGGATTCCTCGCAGAGTTGTTGATTCCCCAGTAGGGTGGAGTTGTTTTCGATGTCTGGTTGTCTATCCGGAAGAGTCGTCCTTTCCCCAAAAGAGTCGTATTCTAGAAGGTCGTTCATGGCATTTTCCTCAGCAGGTTTTGATATGGATCCCCAGCTGAGTTTGAACTTCTTATTCTCGTAAGAACTTTATTCCCCAATAGAGAAGCCGTCCAAGGCTCGTTTCCCGGTTTAAGTCCAGTTTGATTGGTATATGTTAACCTTTTCCCCAGTAGGGTGGACTTTGGTTTTCGTCAGCATTTATTTTGCTGGTTTGGTTCCGTTGCATTTTGCATTCTGTGCATAGCATCCTCCAAACATGTAGCATTTCCATTTTGTATGGAGCATTATGCCATTTTCAAACATACGCAAGTGAAACATAAGCCAGGTGGTTACCTCTTTGTTTGCAGATGTATTTCCAACAGATGGTTGATTTACTTTGCCCGCATGGTGTTCAGACCCGACAAGTTTTGACTGATATCTTTGCCTGAATGGTATCCAGACCATGGCAATTTCCGTTAGCCCGCGTGGTATCCAGATCCCAGCTTACGCTTTTTCAGCAACGTCGCCTGACTTCGGTCGATGGTGCTATCATAAGCTCATGTGGTAGTTAAACCTTGATGATTATGTTGATGGTATACTTTGCTCGCGTGGTATCTAGACCCCGACAAAGGTTGTTTTTCTGCCCAAATGGTACCCAGACCATGGCGATTCCATATTTGTTTTGTCCGTTGAGTATCCAGACTCTGGTCATTTCCGTTGAGTATCCAGACTCCGACCAATTCCGTTGAGTATCCAGACTCCGGTCAGTTACGTTGAGTTTTCAGACTCCATCCATTTGAAAGGTTATCGCCCGTATGGTATCCAGACCATGGCAAGTTGTGATTGATGTAGTTGCTCGTGTGGTGTTCATACCTTGACGACTAGTGATTTTGTATAGCCCGCGTGGTATCCAGACCACGGCTTATGTTATTCCTTAGCGGTGTTTCCAGACTTCAGTTGTTCATGTTGTTATGAACTCATGAGTATATTTGGGGTGTATTCCTTTGTCCATCAAGTATCCAGACTCCGGTTATTTCGTTGAGTATCTAGACTCTGGTTATTTTATTGAGCATTCAGGCTCTGGTTATTTCGTTGAGCGTCCAGGCTCCGGTTATTTCGTTGAGTATCCAGACTCCGGTCATATTTCGTCGAGCGTCCAGGCTCCGGTTATTACGTTGAGTATCCAGACTCCGACTTATTTCGTCGAGCATTCAGGCTCCGGTCATATTTCGTTGAGCGTTCAAGCTCCGGTTATTTCGTTGAGCATTCCGGCTCCGGTTTATTTTCGTTGAGCGTTCAGGCTCTAGCTTATTACATTGAGTATCCAGGCTCCGGTTATTACGTCGAGCGTTCAGACTCCGGCAAATTTCAGTGATTCATTTTGATTCGTTAAATATCCAGATTCTGACAATTTGAAGTAGTATGTTTTAAGTCTGTATGGTATCTAGACCATGGCGCAGATTTTTGACGGATGTGCTCATCTTTTTAGATGTTATCCAACAGAGTTACTTGTTTAAGTTTCTCTTTGTTCCTCAGCAGAGTTATTTGGTTAAATTTCTCTCTCCCTGCCAGAGTTGCTTGGTTAAGCTGCTATCTTCCCCAGCAGAGTATTCTCAAGATACTTATCAGCTTCGTTTGATCATGCCTTATGGTTCGATGCTCGCTTTTATTTAGCCAATGCCTGCGCGCTAGCAGATGTCTCTTCCGACCGCGTGTAGAAAGTTTGGTAATCAGTTCGCTTGTTACCGTTGCAATTATCAGTTCAAACACGAATCAATTATAAACCAGTCTTGAATTTTTCTCGTAAAGTAAATAACACTCTAAATCGGTCCTTGAGAAATAAAAGTTGTCATGAATTCATCTTGTACGTCTGAATGAATTAAAAGAAACCACCACTGAATTAGTCCTTGAACGTTGAATGAATTGGAGTTTTGAATCAACATGCATTCATATGAACTTATGACCAACATTAGAACAATTGTGAACTTATCTGCATCAATTCACAACTTGCACAATCTAAACCAATGCCATTTTGATTGCAAATGAGATAGCAACTTCACTGTGAAACAATCATGCTTTGAAATCAGAGGGATTATGAATTAAGATATGAATTGTATCACAACTATTCTCAAAAAACCTTCATTGAAAAGAAACTAATCTTTGATGATCCACAATCACGAAACATCTAAATTCAGCACAGTTTGATAACCTGAACTACAGACAACTCGAGTTCACACAAAAACCCTAACTAAAATTTTAGGCACACACCACTCAAATCATGCATATCTTGACCTTGATGCCCTTGCAACAACCTTGAGTTTAGTCACTAAGAACAATATATCTTTGACTTTTTGAATAATGGTTAGTGGATGGAAGTACAAATGAAGTTAATGCACAGGTAGGACAATTTTGGAGTATGACATATATTTTAAAATTATACTAACTATTTTATTTTTAATATTTTCAATTTATTAGGTTTTAATTATTTATATTATATAAATTACAATATCACCCTTATGACAAAATTGTACATATTTTTTTTGAAAATTATTTATTGATATTTTTTAATTGAATATCAAATTAATTTTTATTTATATTTTATTATATTTAATTTTTTATTTTAAATTATATTTTATATGAGTAAATTTATAAGTTATTTTCTTATCTTATCCTGCTGGATTCTAACTCAACTCATTTTTAAGATAAAATTTGAACTAACAAGACAAAATATGATAAATTTCATAATTAACTTATTGTATTCTATTGTGTCATCAAACACTAAATTGAGATAAAATATATTACAATTATTCTATTTTATCTCTTATCGTGCACCATTTTAATAAAAATAAAAATCTGAGCAAGATTGATATTTTCCTTCTTTGGTGGAGTTATTGGGCTCCACCTTAATATTGTTATCATAATATGTAGGTGGGTTTTTAGATTTTCCTAACTTAGAAGATTTTTGCTTGGTTCTCTTTGTAATATTGTTTTCATTAATATTTGTCTTAAAAAAAAAGAGCACATACCTTTTTTTTCACATGTACTGTCGGTGATACAATATTATGTTTGTTTCTTTCATGTCTTTGAGTAACATGTTTATGGTTGTTGTGAGCTCTTTTTTTATTGGCTTTTTGTAGTTGTTGAGAGGTCGCTTTGATTAGCTATTTATAACCATCACCACCACCCTCTTTCTCTTTCTTCTATTTTTTTCTTCATAGTAAAAAATAAACAGAAAACTAAAGTTGAAAAATGACTAATGGAAGTGTTAGGAAGAACAAGGCAATTGTCGTAGAGAACGCACCTTTGTTACCTAAGACTCAAGAAAGTGATGTCAAGATCGATGAATTTAATGGAGCTTCATTTTCCAGTGCTGTTTTCAATTTGTCAACCGCTGTCGTTGGTGCTGGAATCATGAGTTTACCTGCTTGTGTAAAAAAATTGGGGATAGTTCCTGGTCTTATTACCATAATCCTTTCATCATTATTCACAGAAAAATCAGTTGATTTCATGATCAGATTTTCAAGAGCCGGAAATATTTCTTCCTATGGAAGTCTCATGGGTGATAGCTTTGGAAAATATGGAAAAGCTTTGGTCCAGATGTGTATTACAGTCAATAACATTGGTGTTTTGATTGTTTACATGATTATTATTGGTGAGGAACATTTTTCTTATACTCAGTACTTCTTAATTTTCTTATTACTTTCTTTAAATCTTTTATTTTGTATCTTAGGTGATATAATTTCTGGAACATCTTCTAGCGGAGTACACCATTATGGTATCCTTGAAGGATGGTTCGGCGTTCATTGGTGGACCGGGCGTACATTTGTTCTTGGTTTTACAACACTTGTGGTAGTTCTACCTTTGACGAGCTTTAAAAGAATTGGTACATACACTAATGGATATTTGAGAACTATTTTAAACCAACCGAATATTAGATCAATCAATACATGAGAGGAAACTTGTTTGTTATGTTGTTTTTGCAGATTCGTTAAGGTTTTCATCTGGATTATCAGTTGGTCTAGCAGGCGTTTATATTGTCATTGTTGTAGGAATCTCAGTTTACAAAATCATTAATGGAGGCGTAGTGATTCCAAGACTCTTCCCAATCATTACTGATGCATCATCAGTTTTTGAATTGTTCACTACATTCCCTGTACTTATAAGCGCCTATATTTGTCACACTGTTGGTATGAAAAATTTTCAGGTCTCTTCGATATTTTCTTCACTCTAAAATATATATATAAAAGCCGATGATTTTTAATTTATTAATTTATTGAAGAATTGATATATCTGGTCTATATATTTGCAGTTCACAGCATACGTAATGAACTAAAGGATTCGAAACAGATGCGAGGGATTGTGAAGACTTCCTTTGTTTTATGCTGCTTAGTTTACTTAATCACAAGCTTCTTTGGATTCCTTCTATTTGGAGAGGAAACTCTTGATGATGTTCTTGCCAATTTTGATACCGATCTTGAAATACCGTTCGGTTTTATTCTTAATGACATTGTTCGCGTTAGCTATGCTGTACATCTTGTGCTTATAATTCCAGTACTCTTCTATGCAGTGCGAATCAACATTGATGGACTCATGTTTTCTTCTTCATCAATAAGGCCTTTGAATGTTGATAACTTCCGATTTTTCTCTATTACTTTCTCCCTTAATGGCATTATATTCTTGGGATCGAATTTCATACCTAGTATTTGGGATATTTTCCAATTCATTGGAGCAACTACTGCTATTTGTATAGCATTTATATTTCCAGTTGCAATCACTCTCAGGTGAGTTTCTTCACTAAGATTATAATGATAATTAATTAATTAACTTAATATACAATTATGGTTAAGTATCTTCTTTTACTGCAGTGATAAATACAACATAGCAACTAAAACAGACAAGATTCTATCTGTTTTTATGATAGTCATTTCAGTATCGTCAAGTGTTATTGCTATATACAGCAATGTTTATGCGTTGATCGACAAGAAATGAAGATTATAGATTTCTTTAGACCTGTCCCTTTTAGGAAGGAACATTACTCGGTTCCAACCTAATGGAGAGATACTAGTAGGCTTGATCGAATTCTGGTTATTGAAGAGTGGTGGGATGTAGCCGCGGTTAAGTGGACTATACCTAGAGACGTTTCAGATCATTGCCCTGTCATTCTTAAATATGCTAATCTGATGTGAGATCCAAAGCTTTTTCAGTTCATTAAATCTTTTATCTCTTTAGGAGATAGGGTTATGATGACGGGTGGATTTGCTATGATTTGGCGTGTTGTGACGTGGTCTATATGAATAAGGTGTGACAACAAAACTCTTTCTGATTATTCAGAAAAACATGAAAGAGTGGTGAACTCATCATCTTCTTCCTCGAACTAGATTCAGAATTCTATCATGTGTCTCAATCAATAGCAGATTAAGAGTTTAGACTTGTTCAGAGGTTGTTTTGTTGCTTTGGTTTTCTTTTAAATTTCTAATGGTGGTGCTGGCAAACTGAGGTTTAGCCTTATTCTCTGTTAGATGAAGCCTAGTTGTTGGATGTTCAATCACTAGTGGTTCTTCTTTTATGTGTTTTCTTCTTTTAATTTCGCTATATAGTTTGTAGTTTATTAGACTTTTGTTCTTGGCTGTTTTTCCATTATAGATAGACACTTCTTGTACCAGTTTAACTATCTCTTGTATGTTTGTGGGTTTTTAACTCCACTCTATTTATATATACATTATTTTACTTTTAAAAAAGGTTATGTATTATGTGTGCTCATGATATCTTAATTGGATAATTTTAGAATGGGTCTTTCTCTTTTAAATAGGAGTATACTTTTATTAATAACTATAGATGACGGTTTTTTATTTATTTTCACCATCAGTATTCACAGGACCGATTAATCTGATTCGAGGTGAGTTTGATTGTTTTGACGATTACAAAGCATATTTAAGCATAATTATGGCTAAGTTTTTAAGTTAACATAACATTAAGGAAACAGGTACAAGTCAAAGTTATGGGAGAGTGGAAAGAGGTTAGGTAGAAAAATCAACAACAATCATCAATTGTCAGAAGATCAATCTAGAAGGCTGTAGTAGGTAAGGGAGGTGGAAATAAGGAACAACTAACTAGCTTCTTCTTCACTGAGTTTTCAGATTCATTCAAAGCATAAAATATGTTCAAAGTCTTCAAAGAACATGGACTGGTGGAGGAAGTTTTCATACCAGCAATAAGAGACAGATGGGGAAAATGGTTTGAAATTGTACGGTTCAGACAAGTTGATAATGCGAGACTATTGGGAGTAAAATTGGATAATATTATTATCGCAAAACTATTGTTTTAGTGCTTTAAGTTATTTTAAAATATCAAATTAGTTTCTTAAATTTTTTTTGTAACGCTTTAATCCTTTTTAAAAAATCTCCGTTACAAAAAAATAGAAACTCATGTACCATTTGGACTGGTTTTTCGCGCTGATCACGAATATGCAATCAAATTTATCAAACAAGTTACGACTCATGAGAATCAGGTAAAATGGACGAAATACATAATGAAAAATCAACGATCCGACCAAAATACACAATCAAACGCAAAACTAATTACATATTCGTGATCAGCGCGAAAAACCAGTCCAAATGGTACATGAGTTTCTATTTTTTTGTAACGGAGATTTTTAAAAAAGGACCAAAGCGTTACAAAAACACTTAAGGGACTAACTTGATATTTTAAAATAACTTAAAGGACCTAGACAATAGTTTTTCCTATTACTATTCTTGGGAAGAAGATCTTTGCCAACCTACCAAGGTTTCAAAGAGAAAACAAGATCTCAATGCATATTGACAAAGTGGACTTGAGTCGGGGTATATCCAATCTATAGTAAGGTGAGAGAAGGTGGCAACCTGGGTACACTAGAGTTTCTTATGCTTGGGTGGTGGGAGGATACAAGTCAGATGGTGAGCGGAGAGGAGCGTTTGGAGGAGGCAGTGAGAGATCAAAGAGAATGTATTTCCATCATCGTGACAATGAGGAGAAAAAGCCAACGTTTCCGCATCTGTAAATCAATATCGAAGACAAAGACTTAATTAGATTTGAGAAAGCTTTCGTTGGAGTAGTCAAAAAGTTAGTTTCAAATTATAATATTTAGAATGCTTTGCATACTAAAGGTTACTTTCGTATCAAGGTCACACCTATGGAAGCTGATTTATACTGGCTAGAGAAGTTAGAAGAGGGTGAAAGAGCTTCCACGATTAAGGAATGTAGAGCATGGGTAACAAGTTGGTTCTCTGAAATTTATCCATGGACTCTAGCTAATATGGATAACGACAACTTACATGGTTATAGTGCTACGAGCTTCCTTCTCATGCATGGCGTCCAAAGTTGTTTAAACTTATTTCAAGTCAAGTTGGGGAATTTATTCGCAGTGACAAAGAAACAGAAGATCACGAGAGTTTTGATGTGGCTAGGTTCCTTGTAAAAAAAAATATTCACTCTGCCTTCATGAGACCTTAATGTAGGATTGAACAATAATATTTTCAAAATCAAACTCGTGGAGGATTTCCACGGGACAAAGAGAATAACAGAGGAAGAGAGTCGCGAGGTGGTAAGTGATTCACATGATAGTGAAGATGGTGGCGAAGACGGCGACTGTAATGGTGGTGGATGGACTCGTCTAAGGAAGATGAGGAAGGTGAAACTAAGGATAAGAATTCGATGGGGTTTACAACAATGTTCACAAGATCACATATTCCAAGATTGATGGAACATAAGACACAGTTGGGAAAGATATTGGTTTTGATGATGAGTACAATCACGCCTTACTGTTGGCGGCTGGGGTGTCAGAAAAAGATGATTTGAGCAAAAAGGTTTTCTTTGGGGCATTTATGGAGGGTGGAAAGACTAATGCATTTATGGAGGATGACCTTCCTGTTACATTGGGACAAATGCCAACCAAGAATTCGAGGAAGCAAGTGGGTCTTAGAAAAATTGGCAGAAGAATTTTGAATTTGATTATTGGGCCTAAAGTGACGGGTTTGCCATGTAACTCTGTTGATTCGGATCCCATAACTTGTACTGGTGTTGGGCGGGAAGTTACCAACGTCTGTCCTAAGCCCAAAAGGAAAAATTCTCTTAATGAGAATTATGAAAATTTACAAATTCCTTTTTCACCCTCATACTTTTCTACGTTGCTTCAATCAGATAAGTCAATAGCAGAAGCTCCACCATTGAACAACCCCAATCCCCTAATATCATATGTTAAATATTCTAATTCAAGATTCTCAGGAGGAACCATCCTATGTTGCGATTCAATTAGTGAATGCGATGTTAATCAGAATAATTCACACATTTGTAGGTGTATTGAAGTTGTGCCAATGAGAGTGTGGCAAGCCATTAAGAATGGAATTGAATGAGAAGAAAATGACGATTTCTTTAAAGGGATAATTAGAAATATGGAAGACGCAAATAGACTAGAATTCGGAGCTCATAGGGTGGCAGTTATCATGTCCAAATGAATTTTTTAACGTATAATGTTAGAGGGTGTAGAAGTAATTTAAAGAGGAGGAAGATCAGGCAATTAATTTCAAAAGGAGATGTTGATGTTTATTTTATTCAAGAATCAAAATGCAAGAAAATGACAGATGTTATTGTGCAAAGTCTTTGGGGAAGCTCTGACTGTCAGTGGTCTACGATTGATGATGTTGGGAATTCTGGGGGGATTATCACATTGTGAAGGAAAGATTTCACTTTTCTAATTTCAAGTTATAGGAGCAATGGGTTTTTGTGTGTTAATTCTACTTGGAGGAGAAAGAATTGTTATTTTGTTAACATATTTGTCCTGCTACTTGATTGAAAAAGGTAAATTATGGGCTGATCTAATAGAGCTGAAATTCAAGCTTCCAACAGGAGGATGGGTAGTGAGGGTGACTTCAACACAATGAAGAATAGGGGAGAAAGAATGGGGGGAGGGGTGTTGCACAAGGGGGAAATAGAAGGTTTCAATGATTTTATTGGGGTGATGGAGCTTGAGGATTTACCATCAACTGGTAACAAATTTACATTCATCACTTTCAATGGTACTTGTATGAGTCACTTAGATAGATTTCTAATTTCTTTGGATTTGGATAATACTTGGAATACTATTAAAAAATATGTCGGGGATCGAGACATATTCGACCATAGACCGGTACGACTTAAGGCAAGGAATACCAACTGGGTCTCTAAGCCTTTTAATGTTTTTAATTGTTGGTATGATCATCCGTATTTTATGCCTTTTATGGATCGAGAATGGAAAGCCCTTACTGTCAATGGCAGTGTAACACACATTTTTAATAGGAAGCTTCAATTGCTAAGGGATAGATTGCGTTGGTTGAATTCAAATGTGTTCGATTTGATAGACCTACATATTCAAGGTGAAATCGATAATATAAACGAGGTGGATAATGCATTCGCCCGTGATGCTAATGAGGTATCATTGGAGGATCTAGATATAAGGAGTAGGGCATAGAAGAGGATGTGGTAAAATCTGCATTTGAAAGAGAGTATCATCCATCAAAAATCAAGAGTCAAGTGGATAAAAGATGGTGATCAAATCTCCAAGTACTTCTGTAGTATGTCTAAACAGAGACTCATGAATAATTTTATCTCATCAGTGAGGGTAGGATCAGAGGTAGTGGAAGAGGTTAACCTTGTCAAAAACACCACAAAGAACCATTACACATGTATGTTTTGTCATTCTCATGAAACTAGATCATCACTTCATGTTCAAGGCAGGGCTAGGTTATCATGTGAGGATATGCATAAATTGGAAGGACTGTTTGATGAGGAGGAAATAAGGGAATCGGTGTTTAGTTATGCTGGTAGTAGAAGCCCGGGCCCGAATGATTTTAACATAGGATTCTTACAAAAATGTTGGAAAGTGATTCGTGTCGATTTAGTACGGCGCATCCAAGAATTATACTCAACAACCAGTTTACCTAAATCAATGAATTCATCACTCAACGAATATAGGCCAA